ATCCTCACCTTCTTCCTCTTAATCCTAACGGCGTCTTCAGGGCTCAGCAAGGTGGGAATAAGTTAATTTCTTCTGATAATGGGGCAATAAATTCTTTTTGTCTGAAAGATTTAGGTGTCCTGTGGCTGCTATCCCAGTGAGAGTCCTTTTTTTTGAAAAAAAAATATCCTACACAGCATAGTTTCTATTTTAACATTATGTTGTAACCTAAAACTATATTTAACACACTACTTAAGAAATTTAATACAGCATCACTTTCTAACATAACACATATAATATTCATTTTAATATTTGCCAAAAGCCAATCATACAATGCACATTTTTCACACAGCAGCAGCCAGGCTGAAGGTGCCCAGTGCAGGGGAGATGCTCGGGGAGGGGTGCCTGTGTTCCCCAGAGCTGTTGTGGAGGGCAGATAAGCTTCTGCAAACTGCAGCTCTCATCCAGAGGGATGGAGCTGACTGCAGGCTCTGTTCAGGGCTCGGCTCGTGCTGCTGTTGGTGATATGTTTGGGATGGAAACTCCAGAATGGAGGCACACAGATATCACTGCTGGTCAAAGGGATCCCCTGAGAGCTGCTGATAAGCAGCCTGACACGGTGGATACAGGATAGTCTGTTCCAAGAACAAGCAAGTTCAAGCTTCCCATCAAACCTCGATTTTCTCTCCTTGCTGGTTTGTTTTCCATGCAGTAACTTGGTTTGAATGCCCTGAGAATGGCAGCACTGCCTGACATTGGTGTTTTTGTGTGTGTGTGACATCTGAGCTGGGGTTGTTTTTCCTGGAGAAGAGAAAGCTCCAGGGACACCTCACTGTGGCCTTCCAGTACTTGTAAATGGCTTATAAAAAAGGAGAGTGACTTTGAACATGGGCACAGTGACAGGACAAGGGGAAATGATTTAAACTAAAAAAGGAGAGATTAGATTAGATACAGGAAAAAACTTCCCTGTGAGGGTGGGCAGGCCCTGGCACAGGGTGCCCAGAGCAGCTGGGGCTGCCCCTGGATCCCTGGCAGTGCCCAAGGCCAGGCTGGATAGGGCTTGGAGCAGCCTGGGATAGTGGGAGGTGTCCCTGCTCATGAGAACAAGATGATTTTTAAGGTTCCTTCTAATCCAAACTATTCTGGGGTTGTGATTTCAGTGGGAGAATTGGAGCCCAGGCTGCAGCCCCTGCTTTCCACAGGTTAGCTGAGAATCCTGGGATCCAGGAGAGCCTGAGAGCAGGGCTGGCAAATTGGCTTCCTCAGGCTCTGGTGTTTGCACAGGTGATGGGACATGGCTGTCTCATGCTCTGGAATAGAATGTATTTATTGTGCAGGCTCCCATGAGGACAAGGCTGGTTCCTGTGTGGCACTCTGGGAAGCAGTCAGCATTTCTGTGACCTGTTCTGCCATGGCTCAGGGAGAACAGGCTTCAGCAAGCACTCACCAAACATTGCATAGTTAGTGGCATGTAATTAACTCCTAGAGAAGAATAACTTAAGTAAATTACATTAGACATGTCTGTCGGTCTGCACACAGACACAATGTGAAATATGCCGTTTCAATTTAATTAATTTAGTCCAAAGCAAGTCTTAGACCAGTTAAAGAATTCTTTGCTTTTTTTTATGCTGTCTGACAGCAAATCCTGCTCTCCTTCCCCTTCCCACTTGCAATGGCCATATGGAAAAGAGCCGTGGCTTCCACCCCGCTCCAGAGTGATGGAATGAGCTGTTATGAAATGGGGAGAAGGAGCCGGATCCTGTGAATTTCTGAATGAGCAGCTGGAGAATTGACGTAACTGCAGAGCCCAGAGAAAGGAGGAGTCAGCTCAGAAAAGGAGTGAAAACAAGAGTGTGTTTAGGAAGGCTGAGCTCTCCTTCCTTTCCTTTTTGGCTGGGTGAGTTTTTGCCACTGCCAGGTACAGCTTTTTTCAAGGCAAAAAATTCATTTACGGCCAGAAAGACCAGTTAAAATTATTGACTTACGGTAGTGTACAGCCATTTTATAAAATAATCCCTGGCTCTGCAGTGGAGCAGATAATCTAATAAACAGAACCTGGAAGTTTCATCACATGGAAATATGAATATAAATATGAAAAAGTTTTGTCTGCAGATGGCTTACGTGAAAGGAGCAGAGATAGGGATGAAATTAGTTCAGAAACCTGCTTAATATAATCTCTCTTTCCTGTTGTCTCCAAGGAACTGGGGGATCAACATATCCTACTCATAATGCTGTGTGTTGTGCAAACGGCCTGGCTTTCCTGGTGTTCAGGGGATGGAAACAAGGATGTCCCCCAGGAGACCATGGCCACTTCTGTGTCTGGAGACATTCTCCCAAAATCTCTTCATGTCTGCTTAAAAATTTTACTCTACTTCAGATTATGATGATTTGAAGGGACAAAACAATCTCTTCTCCTCTGCACTGGTTGGTTCAGCTGCTGGAAAGAGCAGAGGGAGAAGAAGGAGTGGAAGATCCCATCCAGGAGAGGGGATCTGGCACCAGTGTCCCTGTGGCAGGGGACTCTCCTCAGCCCCTGTCCTGGTGCTTGGATCCCTGCCCAGGACTGGGAGGTCCATTCAGCTCCCTGAGCCAGGGGCATCCAAGGATTTGTGCTCATCTTGGTACCCACTGCTAGTGCAGGATGAATAAACACATAAATCATGGAATCCCAGAATAGTTTGGGTTGGAAGGGACCTTAAAGTTCATGCAATCCCACTCCTGCCATAGCAGGGCCACCTTCCATTATCCCAGGCTGCTCCCAGCCCTGTCCAGCCTGGCCTTGGGCACTGCCAGGGATCCAGGGGCAGCCCCAGCTGCTCTGGGCACCCTGTGCCAGGGCCTGCCCACCCTCACAGGGAACAATTCCTTCCTAAAGTCTAATCAAATCTCTCCTCTTTTAGTTGGAAGCCATCCCCTGGGTCCTGTCCCTCCATGCCTTGTCCCCAGTCCCTCTGCAGCTCTCCTGGAGCCCCTTCAGGCCCTGCCAGGGGCTCTGAGCTCTCCCTGGATGCTTTTCTTTTCCAGGTGAGCATTCCCAGCTCTCCCAGCCTGGCTCCAGAGCAGAGGGGCTCCAGCCAAAGTTCTGGTCCCACTTCCCTCTGTCTCTGTGCCTCAGGTGGGATTTGTCTGGTCTGGGAAGGTGGCACAGCTGTTGCACCCTGGTGGCTGAGTCAGAAATATTTAATTTGATTTACCAATGTTTTCCTGCCCCCACCAAGAGCCACATCCTATCCAAGGATCTCTCTACTGTCCTTTCTGTGCAGCTGGAAGAAGAAAATAAAAATTGGACTTGGCTTAGCTGAGCAGAGCTTTGGGAAGCACCACAAGAGAGGAGGATTTCCTATCCTTTATATGGCCCTTGCAGCTTGGCAGTGCTTAAAAAGAGCACAGGAGCCTGTGGCCCTTTGGCACCTGGCTGTCCTTACCTGGTGGGAATGCCTCACTGCTGGAAAAGGGGTTTGGTGTGTGCCTGCTCTCAGACACCTTCCTGTGCAGTGTGTGCCTGGATCCTGACTCCATGGATTGGAAATTAGAAGGATTTTTTTTTCCTGGAGGCCCCTGTGCAGTGACACAGTGCTCGAAGGGATTTTAGTGCTGCAGTCTGGTGGAGAATCTGCTTTTCACACCATTTGGGACTTTTGTTTAGTTAAAAAACCTCCAAGCAGTGGAAAGAAAAGATCTTTGTCTTTCAGCTGTGAGCAAAGAAAGCTCATAGTCTATGTCCAAGAGCCACCAGAAATCCCCTGGCAACCAGGCCTAATGATCGTGGTACTTCCTTGCAGGATCTTAGGAAATCACAAAAGTGCTGCTGTTATTTAAAATATGGAGTTACTGCTGGAGGCTTCTTTATAGAGAGGCCCAGAACGGGCAAATCCTATTCCTCCTGATATTTATAACTTCTCTTTTTGTGTGTGCACACACAGTCCTTGTGCTTTGAAACAGCTCAAAGCTGGGTCCCCAAGGTCAGGGGCTGAAACAGAGACTGGGGAGGTTTAACTTGAGGCAGAACTTGGGAAAGTTACAGCCTGAGAGTAAACTGGGAAGTTTTTGTTGGAATGTGGGGGGAACTTTCCATCTCAGTCTCCTTTTCCTGCTGGCAGGGAGGTTTCACGTGGCTGTAGGTGAGCTGACTGGCACATTAATCACCTTCAGCATCTCTTCCCTGTGCTGGAAGGTTTGGAAAGACCAGGAGAGGAAAATTACTGGAGCCAGTCTGCTCTTTGCAAATCCCAGGGCTGCAGGTCTTGAAATGCATCTGGCTCCTGTGAGACCCTCCTGTGCGAGCCCTCCACAGCCCAGGCAGCAGCTCCACAGGGAACTTGGCCATTTCCAAGTGGGAAAGTGGGCAGTGCTTGTGCTCTGTGTGTGCTTCCCTCTTGGGAGCAGCAAAGTGGCTTTTATCAGGATGGGCTTGTGTCTGCATGGCCTGATTCCTGCTGGCAGTGTCCTGGGGGATGCTGATGGCAGGAACAGCAGATTGCTCTTGGAGCATCAGCTCAGGCTGCAGATGGAGCAGGAATGTGTTGTTACAGGAACAGCAGTGGCACAGGATACACAAAGGCAGCATCCTTTGGTAGAGCTGTGAGAGCCTTGGGCACCTCAGCTGGAGAGCTGCTTCTATTTTTGAGTCAGCCTTCAGGAAGGACCTGGGGGGGAGTGTCCAGAGGAGAGCAGATCCCTGGATAATGTGGTAAAAGGGAAGATGAGAAGGCTTGGACTTCACTTTTCCAGCTGAGAAAGGGCCAAGGGAGGTGTTATGGCAGGCACTGTTTATGTAGGGAGTTGCAGGGATCTGTTTTCCATGCAGGATAAAATCTAGTGGATGTGTTTTGCCAAGGGAGATTCCAGCAGGGACTGCTCTGCCTGTGTGGAGCACGGGGTCAGATGACCCCAGAGAAGCATGGAGTCTCCACTGGGATGTCGGAGGCCAGGTGCAGCAGATCTGCTCTGGATGAAGCCATTTTGGGATGGATATTTGAGTTTTTGGATCTCTTAGCGTCCTGCCCAGCCCTGCTCTCACTGACCCCTCCCAGTGCATGGGAAGGCACCAAACCCCTCTCGTTTTCCCTGTTCTCACAGGTAGTTTTGCAGACAAGACTTACGAGTGGAGCTCTGAGGAGGAGGAGTCCGTGAGGAAGGCAGGGCCAGTGCAGGTCCTCATTGTCAAAGATGACCACTCCTTTGAGCTGGACGAAGCCGCCCTGAACCGCATCCTCCTCTCCGAGGCTGTCAGAGATAAGGAGGTGGTGGCTGTGTCCGTGGCTGGAGCTTTTAGGAAAGGAAAATCATTCCTGATGGACTTCATGCTGCGCTACATGTACAACAAGGTAAGGCTGCAGCTCAGGGGCCCTTCCCAGGGCTGCTGTTCCTCGTTGCTGCTCTGCTGTAGATGCAGGGCCACCAACAAAGGAGGGAATGATGAGGAGGACTCCATCTTATCAGAAGGCTAATTTATTACCTTATTATACTAAATTATATTAAAGAATACTATACTATACTAAAGAATACAGAAGAGATACTCACTGAATGCTAAAAAGATAATACTAAAAACTCATTACTCCTTCCAGAATCCCGACACAGCTTGGCCCTAATTGGCCAATGAGTGAAAACAACTCACAGCAGAGTCCAATCAAGCAATCACCTTGGGTAAACAATCTCCAAACACATTCCACATGAGCACAACACAGGAGAAGCAAATGAGATAAGAATCATTTTTCTTTTCTCTGAGGCCTCTCACTGCCTTTCAGCTTCCCAGGAGAAAAATCCTGGGTGAAGGAATCGTGTTCAGAGAATGTGAATGCCACACTGCTCAGGGATGAGCTGGGCAGGATTTGGTGCTTTAGGAATAATCAAGGCTCTCATGAGTGTGGGCTTCACAAAGTAAAGCAGAGCAGATCCTTCTCCAGGAAGAAGTTTCTTGTAGATTTTGGAGCAGGAATGTTCATATCTTCTGCCCTGAATCACAGAATCATTTAGGCTGGAAAATCCCTGTAAGATCATTGGATCCAGCTGCTAACCCAGCATCACCTTACTCACCACAGAACCATATCCTCAGCTGTCTTATCTGTGTCTTTTGAACACTTCCATGGATGGGCACTCCACCACTGCCCAGGGCAGCCTGTTCCAATGTGTGACTGCCCTTCCAGTGAAAAATACTTTCCTAATATCCAATCCTGGTGTAATTTCAGATTGTTTCCTCTCTTCCTCTGCTTTTTCCCTGACAGCAGAGCCCAATTCCCACCTGATTGCTGTCTCCTCCTGTCAGGAAGTTGTAAAGGTCCCCCCTGAGCCTCCTGTTCTCCAGGCTCAGCCCCTTCCCAGCTCCGTTCCCTTCCCTGGACACTCTCCAGCCCCTCCAGTCTTTGTTGTGAGGAGCCCAAAACTGACCCCGGGATTTGAGGTACCTTGACAGTAAAAGGAAGGAAAAACCTCCCTTATGGGAGGTTCTTAGCCCTTTTTGACACCTCCAGCAACTCCTTCTGTTCCTCCTGCAGGAGGCAGTGGACTGGGTTGGGGATTACAACGAGCCCCTGACGGGTTTCTCCTGGAGGGGCGGCTCCGAGCGGGAGACCACCGGCATTCAGATATGGAGCGAGGTGTTCCTGGTGGACAAGCCCGATGGCACCAAGGTGTGTGTGTGTCTCTGCTGCTGCCAGCTCATTTTCCAGCTTTTGAGTCTCTCCTGCCTTGTCTTAGGTGGTTGTGCAAGTTTAGGGAAGGTTTTCAGTACCATGTCTCTATTTTAGTAAGTGAAGGAAGTGGTGTAAAAATATTTTTTAAAAGAGTGTAATTTTGATAATAATTTTTGACGTGTGTATTTCACAGAGCTGAGGGGTGGAATGTGGTGATTTTGCATGAGAGGCATTTATGGAAATTATGTAAAAACTTCTGTGTAATTGACAGTCTGTAGAACCACTGGGAAGTTGTACACACCTCTGTGAAAAACACATGTTAAAGAAGGGTTTAACAAAGTGAGGTGATGTGATGTCCAAGTGTCCCTCAATTCTGGTATCCCAGAGTTCATTTCTGTACTATTCCCAGAAATCTTGAATCTCATGTCCTTGCAAACTCCTTCTCTTTCCTAGAGCAGGAGTTGTAAAGTGGAGTTTCTTCATTCAGAGTTGTCACAGCAGATTTGGAGCATCCTGCAAATTCAGCTGATAGCCAGGAATATTTGTATTTATCTGCACTTCAACGCAGAGCATGGCACCCAAGTGACACTGAGGCATTCAGGGTGTGATTCCTAACGCTGGCTGAGTGTGTTTGGGTTTGGGAGGTGCAATTTGTGTTTGGTTTCTGTTTGGAGGCAGAGCACTGACAGAGGAGCGGAGCAGTTCCCTCACTGATTTTGCTGCCTGCTGGAGTCCCCCTGCTGTCAGGAGTGGCTGGGGATGAGCTTTTCCTTTGTGCCCCGGCAGTGAAGAGGCTGAGGCAGGAGCAGTGATGCCCCAGCTGCCATCCCCCCTGGCACACGGGGTGCTGACAGGAGCTCTGTGCCCTGCAGGTCGCGGTGCTGCTGATGGACACGCAGGGCACCTTTGACAGCCAGTCCACCCTCAGGGACTCTGCCACCGTGTTTGCCCTCAGCACCATGATCAGCTCCATCCAGGTAAGGAGCCTCTGGGATGGAGGAGTTCAGCCCCAGGAGCTACAGAGCCCGTCAGGGATTCCCTTCCTACCACTTGTGCCAGCAGCAGCTGGGACCTTGCCCGTGTCCCCATGGGGATGTCACAGGCTTTAGCCACACCAGCCTCGTGTTAGCCCCAAGGACAGGCTGTTCTGAGTGATCTGAAGTTGTTTCTGTGCTTAAATGCAGGTTTATAACTTGTCCCAGAATGTGCAGGAGGATGATCTGCAGCACTTGCAGGTAGGAAAAGCTTCAGGGTAACCTAATTGTGGCTATTTACAAGGGCCTGGAGTGGCAGGACAGGGGGAATGGTTTCCACTCCTGGAGGGCAGGGTTAAATGGAATACTGGGAAGGAATTCCTGCCTGTGAGGCCCTGGCACAGGTTTCCCAGAGAGGCTGTGACTGCCTCATCCCTGGAAGTGTCCAAGGCCAGCTTGGATGAGGGTTGAAACAACCTTGAGTAGTGGAAAGGGTCCTGGCCCATGGCAGGGGTTGGAACTGAGTGGCATTTCAGGTCCCTCCCAACCCAAACCTTCCTGGGGTTTTATTCTGTGGTTGTGAATTATCAGCCTGGATGTTGCCATCTGGTGTTGGCTCAGTGCAGGTGACCCTCTGTGGGTGATTCCAGCCCTGACTGTTGCAGACAAGCAGCTAATGGGATTTTTGTGACACAGGTGTCCTGCCTATTTCCTGGAATTACCTCCTGCTTTCTCTCCTGTTCACTTGATTGATTGATTGATTGGTTGATTAATTAAGTAGGTTTTTCCAGGAGCTTAAGGGAAGGAAAGAAAAGCAAAAGTCCAGCTGAAAAAATCAGCATTTGAATACTTCTGAATTATCTCAGTCCATAAATATTATTAACAATAACACTTCTTTAACACTGAATTTATTCAGTGTAGCTCTGATCTTTCAGTTTTGATTTTAAGCCATGACTGTTTAACAAGTTGACCCATTTTTAGGCATCTGTGAAACACATTATTGTGCCTTCAGTTAGAAATTAGAGTGCAGAGAGACTGGAGAGTTTCAAATCTTGCTGCTAGGCTGATTTTAGAGTCTTTGCACAGCAGGGGTTTGCAGGGAAAGTACTTATTTCTGAATTCATTTCCGCTCCTTCCTGGAGTGTTCGGAGGGAGCAGGGCTCCAGCAGCCCCTGGAGCACGAGAACTGTCTGGTTGGTATAAAACCTGCAGCAAGCAGCTGATCTGAGCCATTTTCCACAGATTTGGCAGCCCAAAGCTCCAGGCTGGGATCTCTCACATGAGAGCTCAGCAGGGTGGTGATGGTTCCATAACAGCTCCCTGTGCCTCTGGGATGTGAGCTGGGAGCCCAGAGCCTCTCTGTGTCCACTCTGCACGTGGTGCTGGTAGTGCCTGCTCACAAATGTCCCTTACTGCTCCAGAGAGCCAGACAATTCCCTCCAGGGACCCACAGAGATCATTGATCCAGCTCCTGGCCCTGCCCAGACCCCCAGCAACCCAACCCTGGCAGCTCCTGGAGCTCTGGCAGCCTCGGGGCTGTGCCCATTCCTGGGGAGCCTGGGCACTGCCAGCACCCTCTGGGGAAGAGCCTTTCCTGAAATCCCTGCCCTGGCTCAGCTCCAGCCTTTCCCTGGGTCCTGTCACAGAGCTCAGTGTCCCCTGTGTCCCGCAGTGACAAACTCACTGTCCTGTCCTTTCCCTCTCCTTCCAGCTCTTCACCGAGTACGGCCGGCTGGCCATGGAGGAGACATTCCAGAAGCCTTTCCAGGTGAGTGCGAGGGTCCCGGGCAGCTCGGGTGTCCCGGAGCCCGCTGGCTTCACCACGAGGTGTCACTGCAGTTTGCAGCGAGATGCGACTGCCTGGGCATCGGCTCAGCTGCTCCCGGGAAGGGCTTTGTGCTTCCTTGCTTCCAAATGCATCCAAAATCCCTCTCTCTTTCCTCCCTCAACCCCTGCCTTCCCCAGAGCTCTGTCCTGTCCTGCCAGGCTTGGAAAGCAGCTGCTGTTGCAGCAGGTTTGTCACACTCTGTAGTCAGGAGCTCTGCCCAGCCTTTGTTGTGAGAGGTTTGAACTCACCTGCCCTGGGAATCCCTGCTCCTGGCCAGATGAAAGGATAAGGATTAGCAGAGCCGTGGGAAAACTCGGTGTAAGTGGGGTTTCAACTTCAAATTAGGGACATCTGTTCTTCCTTCTGCTCCCCCTGCCTGTGAAAAGCTGGTGTTAAAAAAAGGAGAGCACTGGGCATTCACAGTAGGTGAGGTGGGTTCCTGTTTTTAAAGACAGAGGAGTGTTTTGATCAGGTTGGGTGAGGGTTTGTGAACTTCCTAAAGTAAAAACCAGCAGAGAACAAAGCATGCTGTAAAATCCAAAGAGTAATTGGGAATGAGTTTCAGCTATTTTACATTTGCTTTCCCACATAAAAAGGGAATTGTTGTCCTGGAAGGACTAAGGGGTTTATAAGGTGTCTGTGGTCAGGAAGTGGAAATAAAATTAAAAGGTTAAAAAATACAACAAATGGACAAATTGAGATTTTTAAGGTGTATTGGATTCTGCTGTGATAAATGCTAAAACTAAAAATATATATGGTAAAAATATGACAGGCAAGAGCTTGAAGAATGTTGTAACACAGTACAGCAAAAAGCCAGACATTAAATAAATATTCCTGCTCCTTATTTAAAGACTGTGGGGATAATGTAGCCAAATATTCCAGTGAAACTGAGCTACTTCCTACTCCATCAGTGAAAAGGAGGCTGTGAGGGGGGACTTAAACATGCTTAAATCATTAGGGCTGGATGATGGGCTCTGATTCTCCCAAGCACTGTAACTGCTGTCGAGTCACAGTTTGTGGATGGTGAGTCTTGTCAAACAATCCCATTATCAGTTTTTGAAAGAGCATGAGCTGGGTTGATAAAGGTAACTCTCACCATGATCCGTTGCCTTCTGTCAGCCTTATCTCTCCTGGATGCTGACTGAAAGCAAATGAAGTCTGGTTTAATCCATAGTTAATGGATTAAAAACTCATTAACTGATAGATGCCAGAGCACGCTGAACTAATTGTAACTAATTGTAGGGAATCATCATCCTTCAGAAGTGTTTCCTTGGGATCCCCCCAGGCTCTCCCTGATTCAATGTCATCTTCATTAATGATCAGGGGGAATTATCAGACGAGGCTGGGAAGCCTTGTGGGTGTGGAGATGTGGCAGAGGGCTCAGTGCTGCTGTGGCCAGGTGAGAAGTGATCTCCTGTCTGCATCCAGCGTGGGCTGCTTCCTGCAGAACATGTTTTAAATCAGAGTGTGGGTTAGAAAGCAGGAAAGTGAGGGTGGGGAGGCCCTGGCAGAGTTTTCCCAGAGCAGCTGTGGCTGCCCCTGGATCCCTGGCAGTGCCCAAGGCCAGGCTGGGCAGGGCTTGGAGCAGCCTGGGATGGTGGAAGTGTCCCTGCCATGGCAGGGCTGGCACTGGATGAGCTTTTATTTAACCCAAACCATCCTGGGATTCTGCAAGTGTGATGGTGAATAAACTGCAGTGGCACTGATCCTGCTGGAAGGGAAGGGAGGTGAGACTTGGCAGTGGAAAATTCACATTTCCCTTTGTCTCCTTCCTCTCCTCACACTGAGGAGGCCCTGCCAGAGGCTGGCCCTGAACGTGGGGCCTTCACAAAGGCAGTGGTAAACACAGCCTGTCTGGAACAATTTTACTTCAGAAAGAAATAATAATTCCCAATTCAAAGCATGCATAATGTGTTTGTGGAAAAGTCCTAAACATGGGAATGTCTCTTAAGCATCTCTTGGAGTTTGAGAACAGCATGTCCTGAACCAGCTCACTGGGTGCACTCACTGTGGCTTCTCCTGCAATTCAAAAAGGCCAACTCACTGTTATTTCCTTTTTTTTTTTTAACTTTTTCTGATGTTTTATAAAAGAGAAATGGCAGGAATATTTCCCCTCCCTCCATTAGATTTTTGTTCTAAACATAGATAAATTTTAGGGAAATTCCAACGAAATGGGTTCCATTTGCTGACCTGCTTATCCATGTTCCTGAGAGGAACCCTGGCACCTCTGCCAGGCCCTCCTGGGCTTTGGCATTCAGGACTTCCCCCTCCAAACCCTTTATTTCCTGCATGGGATGTTGTACAGATGAGGCAGTGAAGACCTGATTTTTTTTCTGAAAACCTTTTATTTTTTTTAAAGATTCAAAGTTGACCGTTCTGGTAGTTATTTATTTATTGCCCAGGAACTTTGAATGCCTCAATAAAGATTACAAAAGCCAATGATTTCTTATTCACCCTCATTCCCCTGCATCTGCTTCTCATTAAAAGTCTGTCTGGAAGGCTGCCCAGTGAAAAAGGCTGGAAAAATGAGCCTGTAGAATTCCCATAGGATGGAACTAAATGTGGCTGGAATTAGGGAGCTTGCTGCCTTTTGTCCTGGTTAGCAGCAATCCCCTTTCTTGGGCAGTTTGGGTGATTGATGATGTTCTCCAGCCAGGGACTCAAAGTGGTGCAGCAGTTTGGGGGGTGGGACAGTGGAGTGGTCTCAGCCCCTGCACACTGGGACCACTCCTTTCCACCAGGAAAGGTGGGAGATGCTGCTGGAGCTGGGAAGAGACTCAGGGCCAGGTTTTGGGGTGGTGTGGGCTCAGGCAGCAGGTCACTGACCCCACTGTCTGTGTTTTCCAGTCCCTTATATTCCTTGTCCGTGACTGGAGCTTCCCTTATGAATTTTCCTATGGATCTGATGGTGGTGCAAGATTTTTGGAGAAGAGACTGAAGGTATGTTTAGCCTGCTCTTGGTTCTGGATGGTGGAAGTGTCCCTGTCCATGGCAGGGATGATCTTTAAGGCCCTTTCCAACCCAGTCACTCTGTGATTCCATGATTTTCCTGTTCAGCTGGGTGGCCTCAGCACTGGAGGTCAGGTGTGAGCTGCAGTGCTGCTTATGGTCACACTCAGTGCCTTAAAATCCCAGAGGAGGCTTTTGGGGAGGGTGAATTTCCTTGCCATGTCCAGGCTTCTGCCCAGGCCCAGCTCCCTGGGACTCTGGGAGAGTCAAAACAATGGGAGTCAGCAATTCTCAAGAGACTGGGAATGATGCTTTAGTAATTAGGGAGTTGTACAATAAAAATGATGGGCAAGGGCTGCTTGGGATCAGTCAGGAAATGCATGGGTGATCTGGTAGTGGAGAGGCCTAATTACATGTGAGACAAGCAAGGCCCTAGTGGGAAATCCCAAATGTTTTTGTATTCCAGTCATCCATGGGCATGTGCATTTTCCAGATGATAATAACATGCTCCAGGGCATGTGGTCAGAGATACTCCAGTTCCTTCTCTTTGTCCTCATGCCTATGGAATCTTCTCCTTTCCTCCACTGTAAGCAGCCACAGTGTGCAGTACCCTGTGCTCCTGCCAGCTTTATCCCAATATTCCAGTCAGAAGGAAACTTGCTGGCCCCAAACTGTGAGAAGCAGCACGGAGCTCTTCTCTCTGGTGACCTCTGACAGAACCTGAGGAACAGCTGGAGCTGTGCCAGGGGAGTCGAATTGGATTTTAGGGAAGGGTTCTTCCCCCAGAGGGTGCTGGCAGTGCCCAGGCTCCCCAGGGAATGGGCACAGCCCCGAGGCTGCCAGAGCTCCAGGAGCTGCCAGGGATGCCAGGCTGGGATTGCTGGGGGTCTGGACTGGACTCTGATCCTCGTGGGCACATCCAGCTCAGGATATTCTGTGCCTCATTGTCTCCACAGGTGTCAGGCAATCAGCACGAGGAGCTGCAGAATGTCAGGAAGCACATCCACTCCTGCTTCACCAAAATCTCCTGCTTCCTCTTACCTCACCCCGGCCTCAAAGTCGCCACCAACCCCAATTTCGATGGAAAACTGAAAGGTACAAAGGCAAACCTCTGGTTTCTACCCTGATTCCTTAGAAGCTCTTGCAGACTGTCCTGCTTGTTCCTCAAACCCCCAAAAGTATTTTCCATTTAAAAAAATCTGGGAAAGGAGTTGGATCCTGCTCCCAGTGCTGTTCACACCCCCTTCTGCTTCTTGTCAGTGCAGCAGACAAAAGAGAAAAAGTGTGGGAGGCTGACAAGGCCTGAGAGCTACTGGAATACCCAGTGATAGGAAAAGTGGGAAGGGCGGGGATGAGACTGGATGTTTGTGGACGTGGTGTTAAACCTGCAGTAAATTCCTGTGCCTCACCTGCACTGGCAGAGCCTGGTTGCTGCAAGGCTGGTGCTTGTGGTGGGTGGAAGGCTGGTTCCACAAGCTCTCAGAACAGTTATTTCCCTTTGAAAAGCTTTCCAGGGAATATTTAATCTGCCTGACTTATCTGATCAGTGGTTTCCCTACAGGGCAGGCTTGGTTCAGCAGGTTAAAAAAAGGGAGCAGGAGAAAAGAGCTGTGGTGAGATTCTCCACCCCAAAAGGAGCCACATGCTGGGGATATTTTTAGGTGTTTGTTGTGACCTCCTCACCAGCGTGGCTGGTTCCAGGCTGCTGCAATCTTAGCAATAAAGTGGACCATTAGCTACTTAAAATAAATCAGCAGGCAAAGATGTGAGTTTTCCCCTGGTTTTGTCTGGCTGAGACTTGCTCTGCTGGCAAGCTCTGTGCAAAGCAGGAGGGACAGCGAGGCAGCAGGAGGGAGATGTGCTGGTGGAAGCTGAGCTGATCCCTGGAGCTCCCCCTTCATCTCAGGTGCTGAGGAGTATGGAACAAGTGCTGTGTGCAGACAGGAGCTGTCAGCAGCTTCTTGACACAATATTCACAAATTTCTTGTTGCCTCAGAGCTCTGCTCAGCTTTTTGTGCTCTGATGGAAGAAATGTGAGGGATCTTCCCTGCTTTCCATACCTTCCAAATTCCTGGCTGTTGCATTGTTTTTTTCTGCCTTCAGTCCTGTACAGTTGAATTTAATGGAAATCCCACCCTGTGCATCCCTGAGAGCTTTGTCCAAATCCCCCTGGAGCTCTGGGCAGCCTTGGGGCTGTGCCCATCCCCTGTGGAGCCTGTTCCTTCCACCCTCTGGGGAAGAACCTTCCATGGCAGGGGGTCGGGACATGATGGTCTTTATGTCCCTTCCAACCCAAGCTATTCTGGGACTCTCTGATGCCTCTTATTTTCTTTTTTTCTTTTTTTTTTTTTTCTTCCAGAAATAGACGATGAGTTCATCAAGAACTTGAAGATTTTGATTCCTTGGCTTCTTAGTCCTGAGAACCTGGATGTTAAGGAGATCAATGGAAACCACATCACCTGTCGAGGCCTTGTGGAGTATTTTAAGGTATTTATTTCAGAGAAAGTGGATGTATTCCTCTGTGGAATTTTGCTGTAGCTAAAGGGGAAAGCAGCAGCAGGCAGGGCAGCACTGACAGCCCTGACTCACTGCAGCAGAGGGCAAACACCTCATGGTTGTGTCTTTGACCACACAACAAGCCCAGAAAGTGGGAGGAGCTGTTTTCCTTTCCTGGAGAATGGAGGGCTAGAGGGGGATAAGCTGAGGGCTGTATTCCAGTTGCCTTTGGAAAAAGCTTATTTTTGTTGTCATGGCTACTGGGACATTTCCATGAGAGACATTGGTGAGTAATTCTCACCACCTACTCTTCAGGGCTACCTTGGCTCCTTCTCCTCCAGGGAAAGGACAGAGGTAGGTGCAGATCCTTTGGGAGGGATACTGGGAGTGAGTGGAGGAGGGAGAGCCTGCAGTGACTGCCCCAGGCCACCCAAGGAGTGGCATTTCCTGACCAAAGCCATCTTGTGCTGCAGCATCCTCCTCTTCCCTGCTTCTGAGCCCTGGCTGGAGCTGGCTGGGGTGGCTGCTGTTGCTCCTGTGTGCTGCATTCCACATGATTCCCTTTTCCCTGCTCTTTTCCAGGCCTACATAAAGATCTACCAAGGGGAGGAGCTGCCACACCCCAAGTCCATGCTGCAGGTAGGTGTGAGAGGGAGCTGTGGGAATTCCTGCACTGGAAATGCCATTAATTCCCAGGAACTGGCAGAGATGTCCAGCACAGTGGCACTGCTGGGGCTTTATTCCAAATGCCTCAGTGTAACCAGCCAAGGAGCAGCACTTTGGGAAGAGCTTGGCATCACGAGCCTGACCTGGCTGAGGAATCACACCTGGGGTGGACTGTGGGGAATTTCTGGCTGCACACAGCACCAGCCAGCTCAGCTGAGCAATTCCCTGCAGGTGAATGACATCCTTGGGGCCACCCAGGGAGGTGACACATGGAAGAGGCTGCCAGAGCCAGCTGGGGGTTGCAGCTGGAGCTGTTTATTTGTGGCTGAGCGTTCTATCTCTTTCCTTGCTGGTTCCCACAGCTGAAGCCAAAGTTTTTGTAGCTTGAAGGGGAGGAATCCTCTCTTCATGCAGGCTTTTGGATGTGCAAATATGGGATGAGCTTATTTGGGATTGGTTGGAGGCTGGGAGTGCCCCTTGGCTGATTCTGGGTGCCACACACATGTTCTGGCTGTGTCCACGTGTGGCCCTACACTTACACAGCTTAACCCTGTCCTTCTGCACCTAAATTTTGTGCCCCTTTTGCCCTCACAGGCCACAGCAGAAGCCAACAATTTAGCAGCAGTTGCCACTGCCAAAGACACCTACAGCAAGAGGATGGAAGAGGTGGGTGGTGCTGAGTGTGTCCCTTCTGTCCCTTCCTGTCCCTTCTTGTCTCCTGGCTCTCCTGTCAGAGATTCATGGAATCCCAGAAGGGTTTGGGTTGGAAAAGCACTCAAAGCCCATCCAGTGCCACCCCTGCCATGGCAGGGACACCTTCCACCATCCCAGGCTGCTCCAGCCCCAGTGTCCAGCCTGGCCTTGGGCACTGCCAGGGATCCAGGGGCAGCCCCAGCTGCTCTGGGCACCCTGTGCCAGGGCCTGCCCCCCTCCCAGCCAGGAATTCCTTCCCAAACCCTAACTTCTAATTCCTAACCCTAATTTAGATTTCTCTGTGTCAAGAGTGCCATTCCAGGGATGATTTCCCTGTGTCAGCACTGATGTTTCAGGAGTGATTTCTGATTATAAGGAGTGGTGTTTCAGGAGTGATTTCTCTGTGTCAGAAGTGCCATTTTGGGAGTGATTTTCCCATATCAGGAGTGACATTTCAGGGATGATTTCACTGTTTCAGGAGTGACATTTCAGGGATCATTTCCCTGTGTCAGCAGTGCCATTGCAGGGGTGATTTCCCTGTTTCAGGAGTGTTTTCTATATATAAGGAGTGACATTCCAGGAGTGATTTCTGTGTGTCAGGAGTGATTTCCCCGTGTCAGAAGTGCCATTTCAGGAGTGATTTTCTGATGTCAGCAGTGTCATTTCAGGGATGATTTCCCTCTATCAGCAGTGCCATCTCAGGGATGATTTCCCCGTGTCAGTGATGATTTCCCTGTGCCAGCAGTGACATTTTAGTGATGTTTTCTCTGTGTCAGGGATGATTCTTCATCTCAGGGATGATTTCCCCATGCCAGCAGTGATTTCCCTGTATCAACAGTGCCATTTCAGGGATGATTTCCCCGTGTCAGTGATGATTTCCCTGTGCCAGCATGTGTCAGCACTGATGTTTCAGGAGTGATTTCTGATTATAAGGAGTGATGTTTCAGGAGTGATTTTCTCTGTGTCAGAAGTGCCATTTTGGGAGTGATTTTCCCATATCAGGAGTGACATTTCAGGGATGATTTCACTGTTTCAGGAGTGACATTTCAGGGATCATTTCCCTGTGTCAGCAGTGCCATTGCAGGGGTGATTTCCCTGTGTCAGGAGTGATTTCCCTCTGTCAGCAGTGCCATTGCAGGGGTGATTTCCCTGTGTCAGGAGTGTTTTCTATATATAAAGAGTGACATTTCAGGAGTGATTTCTGTGTGTCAGCAGTGATTTCCCTGTGTCAGAAGTGCCATTTCAGGAGTGATTTTCTGATGTCAGCAGTGTCATTTCAGGGATGATTTCCCTCTATCAGCAGTGCCATCTCAGGGATGATTTCCCCGTGTCAGTGATGATTTCCCTGTGCCAGCAGTGACATTTTAGTGATGTTTTCTCTGTGTCAGGGATGATTCTTCATCTCAGGGATGATTTCCCCATGCCAGCAGTGATTTCCCTGTATCAACAGTGCCATTTCAGGGATGATTTCCCCGTGTCAGTGATGATTTCCCTGTGCCAGCAATGCCATGTCAGGGATGATTTCCCTGTGTCAGTGATGATTTCCCTGTGCCAGCAGTGCCATTTCAGTGATGATTTCTCTGTGTCAGGGATGATTCCTCATCTCAGGGATGATTTTCCCTGAGATGCAGTGATTTCCCTGTATCAGCAGTGCCATTTCAGTGATGATTTCTCTGTGTCAGGGATGATTCCTCATCTCAGGGATGATTTTCCCATGCCAGCAGTGATTTCCCTGTGTCAGCAGTGATTTCCGTGTATCAGCAGTGCCATCTCAGGAATGATTTCCCTCTGTCAGCAGTGCCATCTCAGGAATGATTTCCCTGTATCAGCACTACCATTTCAGGGATGATTTCCCTGTGCCAGCAGTGATTTCCCTGTATCAGCAGTACCATTTCAGTGATGATTTCCCTGTATCAGCAGTGATTTCCATGTATCAGCAGTGCCATCTCAGGAATGATTTCCCTGTATCAGCACTACCATTTCAGGGATGATTTCCCTGTGCCAGCAGTGATTTCCCTGTATCAGCAGTGCCATTTCAGTGATGCTTTCCCCGTGGCAGGGATGCTTTCCCCGTGCCAGGGATGCTTTCCCCGTGGCAGGGATGCTTTCCCCGTGGCAGAGAGCCACCGCAGCAGTGCCATTCCCGCGTTCCCCCCACTCAGGTGTGCGGAGGGGACAAGCCCTTCCTGGCTCCCAGCGACCTGCAGGCCAAGCACGCGGAGCTGAAGGAGGAGGCGGTGCGGCTGTTCCGGGGCGTGAAGAAGATGGGAGGGGAGGAGTTCAGCCGCCGCTACCTGCAGCAGCTGGAGGCCGAGATCGACGAGCTCTACATCCAGTACATCAAGCACAACGACAGCAAGAACATCTTCCACGCTGCCCGCACCCCGGCCACGCTCTTCGTCGTCATCTTCATCACCTACGTGCTGGCCGGCGTCACCGGCTTCATTGGCTTGGACATCATAGCCAGCCTGTGCAACATGATTCTGGGCTTGACACTAATCACACTCTGTACCTGGGCTTATATCAGATACTCTGGGGAGTACAGAGAACTGGGAGCTGTAATAGACCAAGTGGCTGCAGCCTTGTGGGACCAGGTAGGATAAAGAGCTTTTGATTTCCAGCCTGCGCACAAAAAGTATCCTCCTTGCACCCCACTGGGTTTTTCTTTTTCAAGCATTGGGGGTTTTCCTCCCCCTTGGAGGTGGTTTTGGTTCTTAGGGTTGTTAGATCCAGCTGCTTGTGCTGTGATGGGTGCAGGGACACCTTTCCAGTTTGAATTGAGGTTTTAATCTGTTCCTTAGACCTTGCAGATGGGGAGAGGAGAGGCAGAGGAGTTGTGGCAGGTCAGTTTGTGGAGTTTGTTGTAAGGGGGAGGTCACAGGGCTGCCCTGTGGCTGCAGCACAGGTGGGGTGAGCAAGGCTGGAGCTGTGTCCCTGAGCCCCCAGTTCCTGTCCAGTGTGGAAAACAAGCTGTGCAGATCTGAGAAAACTCCCAGCAAGCTCTTTTGTTCTGCCTTTTTCTTTCCTCCTTGTCTTACCTGCCACCAGATGTGGTTTTGTGGAGCCCCGTGGGGATGGGCAGCTCTGAGGGATGCTCTGGGGGGGATCCTGGTGTGTGTGCTTGGTGTGTGCATGGCTGTGGCTGTTAAAAAGGAGCAGCCAGGGCTCTCCCCTCCTTCAGGGCAGGGATTTGGGCTCTCCCAACTCTGCCAGAGGTCAGAGCCAGATCTTGGTTCTGCCAGTTTTGGCAGATCCTGATTTCCCACTGCAGCCCTTCCCTGTTCCCACTGCAGAAAAGAGAAAGCCCAGCCCACACAGACTCCCCCTGACCCCTGCCCCCCATCCAGGGCACAATCCATGTGCCCACTGCAGGAGGGCTGCAGTGCCCTCCTGCTCCTCTCAGGGCAGAGCTGAGGAGCCCATCCCTCAGGAGCCACCCCAGCTCTGATTTCTGGCAGGAAGGGCCCTTCTCCTTCCCTGCTTTTCCTCCACCACAGAGGGTCTCATGGAGAGCAAGCCCATCCCTGCTTCCCTGTGCTGCTGCAGTGACCATGCAGCTTTGGGGGAAAGAAGGAAGCATTTACTGATGCTCCTTCATTCCAGAGCTGTCCCAGGTGGATCCATCCTGGCTGCCCTGCCCCAGCACCTGAGCAGCCCCAGTAAAGCCCCTGCAGTGTCCCTTTGCCCAGGGACACTTCCAGCAGCCTGTGGGATGTGCTGGAATATTCCATCCCAGTGCAGCAAGAACAGGGCACGGGCAGCAGGAAGGTGCTGCCCACTTGCAACACGTCCAGCTGGGGCAAAAGAAAGAGGGTAAAGTGCTTGGAGCTGCTCCTGGCTTCCACAGGCCCTGTGGCTTTCCAAGCAGAGGGAAAGTTCTCCCAGGGAGGGTTTGTGGCAGAGGGGAGCTGCTGGTCTGGGTGACTCTGCCCAGCAGGAACCAGCAGCTCTGTCCCTTGGGAGTGGGAGCAGTGCAGGAGGGATGGATGGAGCAGGGAGGGGATGATCCCCCAGGAGCCCCCCAGGGATGAGCTGCCATGGCCACTGAGATCCACAGAGCTGTTTCTTTCTCTCTCTGTCTCCCTCTGCCAATGCCTCTCCCAGGGAAGCACCAATGAGGTAAGTGGCTCTTGCTGTCTGCATGCTGCCAGCCCTGGGCTCCTGGCAAAGCAGCCTGGCCCCAAAAGCACCCTTGGGCTCTGCAGGATGAGGGTCATGAGGGCTCTGGGCAGCAGCTGCTGGCCTGGCTGCCTCTGGCTCTTGTCTGGGTGCAGATGCCTGGGGAGGGCTCTGGGTGTGGGCACTGAGCTGCAGGAGCCAGCTGGGAGAGGGGTTTGGGTGGGGAGTGCCAGCACACGATGGGATTTTCATCTTTGTCCCATCAGCTCTGTTTGGGGGTTTTCCTGTCGTGCCAGGAGGTCAAACCCAGCCCCAGATTGTTTTGGAGCACCAGCTGGAGGTGTGGGCAGGGACAGCTGAGAGCCCCAGGCCTGGCCAGGCCTCTCCCTGCTGCTGGAATTGCTGTGGGGGCTGTTTTTGGGAAAAACCACCCCATACTGGGTTGAGCTGAGTGCAGAGCCCAGCGGGCACAGTTCACCCATCCCCAGCAGCACAGGGATGCAATCCTGCCCTCCCAGCATGGCAGGGGAGCTGCTCTGAGGGGAGATGGTCCCTGCCCAGGCCTTCCAGGAGCAGGGAAACCTGGAGGAGAGAGGGAGATTCTGCCGCACTCAGGTGAGACCCCACCTCAGAGCTGCCTCCAGCCCTGGGCTCAGCATCACGAGGATGTGGAGCGGCTGGAACAAGCCCAGGGGAGCCGCGGAGCTGCTCCAAGGGCTGGAGCCCCTCTGGAGCCAGGCTGGGAGAGCTGGGAATGTTCCCTGGAGAGGAGAAGGCTCCAGGGAGAGCTCAGAGCCCCTGGCAGGGCCTGAAGGGGCTCCAGGAGAGCTGCAGAGGGACTGGGGACAAGGCATGGAGGGACAGGAGCCAGGGAATGGCTCCCACTGCCAGAGGGCAGGGATGGGTGGGAGATTGGGAACTGGGAATTCCCAGATTTGCTGTGGCAGCCCCTGGATCCCTGGCAGTGCCCAAGGCCAGGCTGGACAGGGCTGGGAACACCCTGAGATGTCCCTGCCAGGGCAGGGCTGGAATGGGATGGTTTTGAAGTCCCTTCCACAGTGGCAGTGCCACCTCCTGAGCCACCGAGTTCTGGGGGCAGTTCCTTTAGAAGAAATTCAAGCTGTTAAAAAGCATCCCATCCCTCATCCCTCCCAGCAGCCAGGTGGTCCTTTGGTACCTCAGGATTTGCTGTGGATAAGGTGTTGAGCAAACCCTGTCAGGTAAAAATGAGCACTGTGGGACTGGTTTGGCATCACAAAACCCCCTAAAACAGCACAAAATGCTGCAGGGTGGGCCTGAAGGTGAATTTTAAAGCAAGACAAGCAGAGAAGCTGTGTGAAGTCACCTGCCTGTCCACTGTGTTGCCAAACAATCCCAAAGCACCCCTTCTGTTCCCAAAAGCCTGTTTGGGATGGGATCAGCATCCCCTTGGACACCTCTGGAGGCATCTCATCCTCACCCTCCTCCTCCTCGCTGCCCCTTCAGCCTCTCCTGCCCCATCCCCCCTGAGCACACAAGAACTCCTCAGCCTGGTGGTGTGTGGGGTGCTGCTGCTCAGGTGCCTCCTCCCACCCCTCCCAGAGCTGATCCAGCCTTGCCAGCAGCCCCCAGCCGGAGCTGATGGGATTTGGGTTGGGTTTTCCCCACCCCAGTTGAAATGGGAATGTCAGAGCTGTGACAATTGGTGACACCAAGTCCTCTGCAGCCAGAGCCGTGTCCTGGCACCTGCTGAGCCCTTTGCTGTGGGATGGAGGTGGGAAAGGCAGGCAGGGACACGAGGGGTGTCACCCCCTGGGGTCAGATGTCACCGGCCCCGTGGGTGCTGTGCCATCAGCTCCCTGTGGGAAGTGCAGCCCTGCAGCTGCTCCTCCTGTTCTGAGCCTGGCCTGGCTCCAGGACAAACAGAAAATGGTGAAATCAGAAGGAAAACGGTAAAATCAGAAGGAAAAAAATCCACATCACCTGCAGAAAAATGATGGGGACAGGGACGTGTGCCACCCCCAGCCCTGGGGCTGAGGCAGGTGCGGAGCTGCCTGGGGCTGAGGGAAACGCTGAGGCTGCAGGAGCCAAAACTGAAACCCACAGGGAAAAACAGCCCCAAGTGCCTCACTCCAGTCCAGATGGGTGATTGACACAGCTCGGGGGGGGGTGAGGAGCTTGGAAAATTGGAATTGTAGAGTCACAGAATTCCCTGAGCTGGAAGGGACCCACAGGGATCAGCCAGCCCAGCTCCAGGCCCTGCCCAGACCCCCAACAACCCCACCCTGGCATCCCTGGCAGCTCCTGGAGCTCTGGCAGCCTCGGGGCTGTGCCCATTCCTGGGGAGCCTGGGCACTGCCAGCACCCTCTGGGGAAGAGCCTTTCCTGAAATCCAACCCAAACCTGCCCTGGCCCAGCTCCAGTCATTCCCTCAGGCCTGAGCCCTGGAGCTGGAGCCCTCTGTGTGCGGGCACTTGGCCCGGCTGTGCTGGTGCACAGAACACAGGGAGGGCTGGGATGGATCGGGATTCCCTGGGATTGGGATTCCGTGTGTTTGGGATTCCCCTGAAATCCAACCCAAACCTCCCCTGGCACAGCTCCAGTCATTCCCTCAGACCTGAGCCCTGGAGCTGGAGCCCTCTGTGTGCTGGCACTTGGCCCGGCTGTGCTGGTGCACAGAACACAGGGAGGGCTGGGAGGGATCGGGATTCCCTGGGATTGGGATTCCGTGTGTTTGGGATTCCCCAGGTTCGGGATTTCCCAGGTTTGGGATTCCCTGGGTTTGGGATTCTCTGGAGTCAGAATTCCCTGGATTTGGGATTCCCTGGAATTGGGATTCTCTGAGATTGGAATCCCCTGCATTTGGGATTTCCCATGTTTGGGATTTCCCATGTTTGGGATTCCCTGGGTTTGGGATTCCCTAGATTTGGGATTCCCTGGGATCAGCATTACCTGGGTTTAGGATTCCCTGGGTTTGGGATTCTCTGGGATCAGAATTCCCCAGGTTTGGGATTCCCTGGGATCAAGATTCCCCTGGTTTTGGGATTCCCTGGATTTGGGACTCCCTGGGATCAGCATTACTTGGGTTTGGGATTCCCTGGGATAGGGGTTTCCGGGGATCAGGATTCCCCGGGTTTGGGATTCCCTGGGTTTGGGATTCCCTGGGATCAGGATTCTCTGGGATAGGGGTTCCCCGGGATCAGAATTCCCTGGGTTTGGGATTCCTCAGGTTTGGGATTCTCTGAGATTGGAATTCCCCAGGTTTGGGATTCCCTGGGATCAGGATTCCCTGGGATAGGGGTTCCCTGGGATCAGAATTCCCTGGGTTTGGGATTCCTCAGGTTTGGGATTCCCTGGGATCAGGATTCCCTGGGTTTGGGATTCCCTGGGATCCGGATTCTTCAGGTTTGGGATTCTCGGGATCAGGATTCCTGGGGTTTGGGATTCTCTGGGATCAGGATTCCTCGGGTTTGGGATTCCCTGGGTTTGGGATTCCCCAGGTTTGAGATTCTCGGGATCAGGACTCCCCAAGTTTGGGATTCTCGGGATCAGGACTCCCCGGGATCAGGACTCCCCGGGTTCGGGACTCCCCGCGTTCGGGGTGCCGGCCCGGGCAGGGCTGCTGAGCGCCGCTCTCTCCGCAGGCCTTGTACAAGCTGTACAGCGCGGCCGCCACGCACCGGCACCTGTACCAGCACGCCTTCCCCGCGCCGCGCGCCGAGCCCGCCGCGGGCCCCGACAGGAAGCGGCTCTAGAGCGGCCCCGGGCCCGGCTCCGCCCGCCCGCAGCACCGGGCCGAGCCGAGCCGAGCCGAGCCGAGCCGGGCCGGGCGTCCTGCCCCGTGTACATACGGCACCGCCGCAGCCCAGAGCTTTGGTCTGTCATAGCCGCCGACTCCCAGCTCGTTTATGAAGCCTTATTTTCCCCTTCTTAATTAGTCACCACTGAGGAAATGATAATTTACGTGATACCGCGACTAAAATGGCCGAAGCTTGTCCAAAAGGCAGTTTATTTCAGGTACTTGAAGAAGTTATAACATGTAACCACGTTTTTTTCCTTCGTTTAACTGTTTAATTACATGAACATAATTAAAGTGTGTTGACTTGCTTTATCAGACACTGTTAAGGGCACTTCTGCTATGGTCTGTTAAGGGTGCTGTGAGGAACCGTTTCTGTTTGTCGCACAAAGTGTCACTTTGTAGCTGTGCTGGAGGAAGTTTCTCTGTATTTCTGTACATATTTATCCATGATAGTGCATAGGATGTGTGGTACAGTTCTATTCTTTTATTGTCAGGACTATTAAAGTTTGCTTTTGGTTCCTAAGAACTTGGTTCTGCAGAGAAAAGTCATTTATTACCTAGGCAGGAGCTTCTCCTCTGGGGTTTTTTACACGTTTGGTTTGATTTGGGATTTCACAGTCGGTGTTTTGAGGGTCATTTATCCACTGACAGACCCAGAGCTTCGATCATCTCAAGTCCACGGGGCTTTCACTGCTGTAAGAATGGTTTATCTGATGTTCCAAAAGGCCACAAATCAGTCACACAAACCCTTCGTTCATTGAACAAAATGATTTTTATTGAATTCGTAGGATTTACAAGAAATGTACTTTTTTGTCTGCAGTGTTTATTGCACTGAAAAGAACCCATAAATAACATATCAGGACAACTAATGAACCAAATGAAATTACTGGAGAGGGTAACTGGACAATTAAAGATTTTCCCCAAATGAGGAGCTTTAAGACAAAAGCCCATTGAAAAAAAGAAACAGTAATTGCTGTTACATCCCTGATTTTCCCCCTGGGGTGGCACAGTGGGTCAGACAATGCTGCTGCCTTTCCACTGGGGCGGGTCAGGTTTTGGGAAATGCAGGATCAAAACCACTCTGCTTAGAGATCTTGGTCTTTAGGAAGGTACAAGTGTTCCCCCTCTGAGTGATCTGTGTGAAAATGAGGAGTGACTCTGGAGCACTAATGAGCTAAAGTAAGAAATAAGGCAACTCAGGCTTCAGCTCGGCCAAGCGCTGGGATCCGGAGGGTGAAATCAGCTCCTGCTGTGCCTGAGCAGGCCGGGGCTGCTTCTGTACATTAAAGCTGTAAACAAAGAGCAGAGCTCTCTCAGGACAGGGATCCCAAATCCCCAGGGAAATACCCTCCATCTGCATTTGGACAACGTTTGGAAGCCGGGACGTGACAGTTGCATCTCTTGCCCTTAAAAAATACCCAGCCAGCTTTTAATACTGCAGCTGACTGCAGGAGAGGGACCCGGGACGAGGGGAGCGACGGAACCGGGAGAACAAACCACTCCCGGCACGGCAGAAAAGATCAACAAACAATTTCCATTTGTATAAACAACACATAATACACGTAGAAAAATATTCAAGAGGATAATAACAAAGGTGCAACGTCAACAAAAAGAAGCTGCCTTTCCAAGAGAAGCACGTTTCCCGTCAGAGTTTGTGCGGGGCGGGGCTCAGCAGCTGCTGCGCGTACCACTGCTGCCGCTGCTGCCGCTGCTCCAGCTCCGTCAGCAGCGCCTGCCTGTAGGCCTCGTAGAGCTTCACGATGCGCTCCAGCTCCTTCATGAACAGCAGCTTCAGCATGCCCTGGTACGTGTCCAGGTCGGCCAGCTGGAACAGCTCCCACTTGAGGATGTGGTCGTACCTGCGGGGACACACGGGGGTGCTCCGGGATGGTTTGAAGGAGAGGGTTTGGTGGGATTGGTTGTGTGTGGGAATGGGATGGGGAAACAGCACAGACCTCCAGGAATAGAGGAGGGATCAGAATAAAGCAGTACAGAACACAGCTGGAAGAGCTGGGAATGTTCCCTGGAGAGGAGAAGGCTCCAGGGAGAGCTCAGAGCCCCTGGCAGGGCCTGAAGGGGCTCCAGGAGAGCTGGAGAGGGACTGGGGACAAGGCATGGAGGGACAGGACACAGGGAATGGCTCCCACTGCCAGAGGGCAGGGATGGGTGGGGGATTGGGAATTGCTGCCTGGGCTGGAATTCCCAGATTTGCTGTGGTTGCCTCTGGCAGTGCTCAAGGCCAGGCTGGACGGGGCTTGGAACACCCAGAGATGTCCCTGCCAGGGCAGGGGTGGAATGGGATGGTTTTAAAGTCCCTTCCACACGAAACCATTCTGGGATTCTGTGGAAATGCATTTTGCAATTCCATTCACAACCCACCTGGAATATCTTCTGTAAAACATCTGTTAAAAGATCAGAGTAACACAGAAAAAGGAATTCTTTCAGCAGCTCGGGTCCCTCCCAAAGCTGGGGCACTGCTGGCCTGCCCTCCCCCCCAGCTGTCCCCAGTGCAGCTGTAATGAGTGTTCCTGCCTGCCTTTCCTCTCCAATTAACCCCTCCTGGTTAATTGGCAGCAATAATCTACACTGGATATTTAATGCAAACCCTGCTGTGGTCCCACCCTCACTGCCATACCCTCCTTTCCTGCTTTTCCCTCACACAGCCCACCACAGTCTGATTCCCTGGGCTTGGAAATGGGGAGCTGCCTGCTGTGGCTATTCCAGAACAGGAGAAACTCGTGGAACAATGGAGTTACTTGGTGCAGCTGAGGCACAGGAGGAGATGGATTCACCTGGGTGGAGGCTGAGGCTGGAGTATCAGTGGATTTATGGAAATAAACTGCATTCCCCACTGAAAGTCACACTCCAGAAGCACCAGGACGTGCAGGTGACTTCCAAAGATGCTCTGAGGAATCTGAAGAATCTCATTAAAACTTATCACAGCCTCTGTGTTGAAGTTATCCCTGATTCTGACAGGGCTGCACTGCTAATAATCCTTTTCCCCCCCCAAAAAAAAAAGAGAAATAACAAACTGCAGCTGTTTGTTGAGCTGTGTATTGACAAGGAGGGTTGATGTTTCCAGGCAGAGCCACATTTGGGAGCAGCTCTGGATTGCTGAGCTCACAGGGAAACACCTGAAACACCTTTCCCTTTCTCCCTCCCCACTCTGGAGCGCAGAGCTCACACCTTTCCCTTCCTCCTGCCCCACTCTGGAGTGCAGAGCTCATCCCTTTCCCTTCCTCCTGCCCCACTCTGGAGTGCAGAGCTCATCCCTTTCCCTTCCTCCTGCCCCACTCTGGAGTGCAGAGCTCATCCCTTTCCCTTCCTCCTGCCCCACTCTGGAGTGCAGAGCTCATCCCTTTCCCTTCCTCCTGCCCCACTCTGGAGTGCAGAGCTCATCCCTTTCCCTTCCTCCTGCCCCACTCTGGAGTGCAGAGCTCATCCCTTTCCCTTCCTCCTGCCCCACTCTGGAGTGCAGAGCTCATCCCTTTCCCTTCCTCCTGCCCCACTCTGGAGTGCAGAGCTCATCCCTTTCCCTTCCTCCTGCCCCACTCTGGAGTGCAGAGCTCATCCCTTTCCCTTCCTCCTGCCCCACTCTGGAGTGCAGAGCTCATCCCTTTCCCTTCCTCCTGCCCCACTCTGGAGTGCAGAGCTCATCCCTTTCCCTTCCTCCTGCCCCACTCTGGAGTGCAGAGCTCATCCCTTTCCCTTCCTCCTGCCCCACTCTGGAGTGCAGAGCTCATCCCTTTCCCTTCCTCCTGCCCCACTCTGGAGTGCAGAGCTCATCCCTTTCCCTTCCTCCTGCCCCACTCTGGAGTGCAGAGCTCATCCCTTTCCCTTCCTCCTGCCCCACTCTGGAGTGCAGAGCTCATCCCTTTCCCTTCCTCCTGCCCCACTCTGGAGTGCAGAGCTCATCCCTTTCCCTTCCTCCTGCCCCACTCTGGAGTGCAGAGCTCATCCCTTTCCCTTCCTCCTGCCCCACTCTGGAGTGCAGAGCTCATCCCTTTCCCTTCCTCCTGCCCCACTCTGGAGTGCAGAGCTCATCCCTTTCCCTTCCTCCTGCCCCACTCTGGAGTGCAGAGCTCATCCCTTTCCCTTCCTCCTGCCCCACTCTGGAGTGCAGAGCTCATCCCTTTCCCTTCCTCCTGCCCCACTCTGGAGTGCAGAGCTCATCCCTTTCCCTTCCTCCTGCCCCACTCTGGAGTGCAGAGCTCATCCCTTTCCCTTCCTCCTGCCCCACTCTGGAGTGCAGAGCTCATCCCTTTCCCTTCCTCCTGCCCCACTCTGGAGTGCAGAGCTCATCCCTTTCCCTTCCTCCTGCCCCACTCTGGAGTGCAGAGCTCATCCCTTTCCCTTCCTCCTGCCCCACTCTGGAGTGCAGAGCTCATCCCTTTCCCTTCCTCCTGCCCCACTCTGGAGTGCAGAGCTCATCCCTTTCCCTTCCTCCTGCCCCACTCTGGAGTGCAGAGCTCACCCCTTCCCCTCTTCCTCCCTTCCCACTCATCAGGAGCCTCCCTGCCCTCACAGGAAGGAATTTTTTCCTGTAAACAGAGATTATTTTGGTTAACACCTACTGGACTCTCTGTCAGGCTTTTTCTAACCCTAATTCTTATCCTCTAGAGGAATTTGTTAAAACAAAATCGAATATTCTTATTTTTTCCATAATAATCTACTCCTCTCAACAAAAACAACTGGGCTTTACAGCTAAATTGATGTACAGAGCCAGGGGTAAGTAACAAATCATGACAAAATAAAACCAATTATTTCAGTGCAAAACTGTGCTGATAATTAAAAATTTAAAAATCTGTCTCAGCCTACTTGCTACAAAGAAATTCCTGATGGATTGTTTAATTTGTCTTATGTTTGCTTCTCAAGTTTCAAGAAAATACCCAAAGTGATCCACACAACACAGGCTGAGCTATTTAAATTTACATGGCCTGGGTGTGCCAAAGACCTCAATAAAGGAATGGATCTGCAGCCAAAACCTGGAAGAATTTTTAGGAAACAAATCCTACAGGCTGCAGGAACTGAGTGTGGAGCCTCGTTGTCCTGGGGGATTTTGGGGCAGTTTAAATCTTTATGGGCTGCTGGCAAACCCAGCAGTCACAAGAAGTAATAAAACTCATTCAAATTGTAGTTACTAGGAACAGGTAATAAAAAAAAAGGAATTTTTTTAAGTGGAAGTCACTGAACACCACAGCTTAAATTTGCAGTTACAGACTGACCTTGCTGCTGGAAAACTGAGTGTCTCCATATTCTCCTTATGAACAGCACATGATTTAATAATTATTACACCACATTTGGGATTTTTATTGCTTTCTATTCAGTGTTACTGTTCTGCAGAGCTGCACCCATTAGAAAATCTCATTTCTTTATGCTGACTCAAACCTTTTTTTGGAGGAGACTCCCTGTTCCTGCAGCAGTTTTGGTGACAAAAATGACTTTTTATTACCCTTTAGTTGTCAATTCAGTTTCCTAAATACAAATATAGAAATAGAGATGTCAGCCAGCATTTGGCCTAAAGAG